CCCCAAAACCCCAAAACCCCAAAACCCCAAAACCCCATTAAGAATATAAATTATTGAAATGAAAATATTTAAAGAGAATAGGAACACTGATCTGAAATATGAGATAGAGTCTAATTCAATGAAGTTTTTTGAGTAAGTAGTGACATAGTCATAGTGACAAAGGAGAAGGATTAGTTATTTCATGCATATAAGATCAAAGAGTATAATTTACATACATCTCATGCTCTTTAGAGAGCTAGACTTATACTTCCTCAATAGAATAAGGATAGTTTATGTAAAAGATTAAGGTTAGTATAGCTCTTTTAACAGCCATTTCGATATTAAATTTATTTCATTCGTAATTTGAATTTAAATGAAAATATGCATATTATGATCGGGAAAGTAAAACTATATCATTTCAGAATATTTCTAACCACATTATCAAAAATACAGATGATGTCTTACCAATTCGAACAATAACCAAAATGAGTGATTGATATTCTCATTTAGTACTTCTCTATTTTTCCATTGTTTCTTTTAAAAATAGTAATTTTAGCCTCTTTCATTAAATCTGTGGTCTCTAGAAGCCTTTCCTTAGCTAGATTTAGGCTTCCTACCTCTATATTTTAGCATATTGATAAACTTCACCAGCTCTTATTAGTTCTGATGAAATTAGCCTATGCATCGAGAAAGAATTATTTTCTCTCTTTATTAGGTGCTAGAGTCTCCTTGCTTTAATAAGTACTGGAGTGGTCATGCTGAAATCCTGCTAAATAGTTCTTATAGAAATTCTGAAAAAGAGAACCCTGATGAGAATGAAGTCAAGCAAGTTGGTAAGAACTGGTTGAGTTCGATTTGCTCTCCTATAATTGAAAACTATATTATATCCCAAGCCTTAAGGATGACTGACGGCTTAAATCTGAATATGCTGGATATCATATTTTTTCCTTAAAAAACTGGGCAGTTTTTTAGCTCTTGAGCTCTAGTGTTCGTTTAATTCTTTTCTTTAAAATTCAATTGAGATTAAGAAACTAATAATTTTGAAAGTAGAGAAAGCAAACCCAAGCAATCGAGGTAACAAGAAAGGAATGGGATCACTTCTCAAGTAAGGTATTTTATGAGTAGAGTTCATACTTATAATAAGTTTTGTTGAGTATCAATTATAAACTTCTCTAGACCAAAAATTTCAATTAGAGGCTCTAGTTTTAATAATGCATAGAATATTTTCTCAGTCATTCCACCAAAATTTGTCCATACGCAATGCAGAGATCTAAAATTTAAGGAAAACTATTTTATGGCTTTTTCTTCTTTCCATATGGTTGTCTTAATCTGCTCATTGGGATTCTTGGATATTTTTGGCAAGATTCTTATCCAAAATTTCCAAGCTACAAAATTTATTCCTTTTAATAATCATTAATTTTAGGAAATTAGTGAAGGCTCAAACAAGGCTGATAAGGATTGATAAAATAAAAGCCAAAAATCCAAAAAAGACCATCTCGAAGAGTAAGTTTGGCACTTACAATGTTTAGGAAAAGAGTATATTCTGGTTGATCAAGTATGGCTCAATATCGGTTTTAAAGGAGCCAAAATATTACCAAATTACATTTTTGTGTTTCAGTATTCAAATAATTACATATTTCTCGCTGGCTTACTTAAGAATTATTATCTCTTACTCTTTATTACAGGAAAAATAATTTGAACAATCAAAAATTGAAGACAGTGAAAGAGATGATTGCTGATAAGGATCTTGCAGCAGCTATATATCTTGAAAACAAAGGAATGACATTCACAACAGATAGTGAGGATAGCAATTACAGCCAGTAAGTAAATTAGTTATACCTCTTCACCTGGACCTGTAATGTTTACCATAAATATAGGCCTGAAGATAAGCCACAATTCAGGTACAAGTCAAAAAGAGATAAGACCAATTGGAACAAGATTACAAATTTTGTGCTTAACGAAGATCCTAATATCTTCCGAAGGATCCTTAGAGGTACTATTAAATGAAATTATCTTCAGTTATTTTGGAATTTCATAAATATTTTAGGCCGCCTTTTCATTTTAACTGTTCATCTTCATCTTTATATAGTCATAATCCTTTTATGAATACTAAAATTGAGCAATCCATTCATGTATCTAAATTTTGTTTTCAGGGATGAATAATCAATTTTATGAAGACTTCGAAGACACAGCTCTGAAAGCATACAAACTTGATGACTTTAAACCCGAAGATTTCAAAGTTCTTAAAAAGATTGGGATTAAAAGGACCACTAAGAAGACCTTGCAGGAGGCTCTGCATCAGTATGAAGGGAGTGATGATGAGTTCACAGACCCTTTTAAACAAGTCAGAAATAAAGAAGAGACAGTCAAAGAACTGATTAAAGCCAAGAGTATGTATATGTATTACCAGTATAGCAAATCTGAAGAACCAAGATATCGTCATTGTTGAAAAACCTCAGATTTACACAGATCTTATCAATGCATATCGTAAGTGCAAGGAAGACGGATATGCTCCAAAACAGACTTTTCAGCAGAAGATAGAAGAGATAACTCAGACCAAGATAGAGCATAAATTTAAGACTAAAGCTAACAAATAAACTAATGACAAGAAACTCTATCATGATAGATCCTCCAATATTTAGTCCAATACATCCCAAAGAGAACATCAGGTAATCCAATTGGAGATCTACCTTCATATAGATTAGACATAAATTTCATAAAGTTTAGCTTCTCAAATTCGGGTAGAGATTCTTATACTAGTAAATTTCAAAAGCCTTTGCTATTTCAGTGCTTTAGAGTAAATTTAGTAGAAATACTAAGATTATGGAGATAATGTGTTCATACTTTAAAGCTTTATTCTCAAGAGGGATTATTTAGATAAAACTTGCTTCATGTTTAAATAGAGGTTGTCAACTCTGGGAGACTAGACTATTTTAATAGAGAATGATATTCTCTATAAGTCATATTTGTCTCCACATTTCTCTAGAAGATGTGGGGTTAACAAATGGCTATCCTTCATGATGGTGTGTGTAGGAATAGAGGTTTTAATAGCAAGAGTTAATAAAAGGATTTAAATGTATAGTAGCTTTAGGAAAACTCAAATTTCATAAATCTTTAGAATGGTATCATCTTTTTAGTATCAATTATTGTAAAAAGGTTCAATTTTTACACAAGCTATAGAAAGGCAGTTCAACAAACAGAATTACCAACTAAGAAGGTCGATAATCTAACGAGATTGTAAGGGTTTAATGTCATTTATAGCTCGATTAAAAATTTATTTCGAAAAGGCAATATTGAGAAAAGTTCACAAAAATCGAAGATTAAGTATAGCATCAGCAAATTTTCAGGACTTGGAGAGTATTACAAGAATCAGAAAAATTCTTACAGATCTTTTATCGAAGAAACTAATGTATCCACAATGGATCAAAACGGCTCTCAAGATTTGCTTTATGAAAAAATGTCAGAAGGAATTCCTTTTAGGCATAACAAAAACTACTCTATCTCAGAGAAACCAACATTTTCAGGATCGCTTCGAAGATCCTTACTTAAACCAGGACAATTACGAGATCGAAATCAGTCATTAATAGACCATTTCAGTCAAAGAGGTGGCTCATTAGACATCAGGAGGTACAGACTGCCTTTTATAGACAAACGTAAGAGTATATAAATACATTTTTCAATAACGTAACCTTCCAATCTCTCAGACTTCAATCTCCGGTTCTTTGGCTCTCTCATTAATCCCTTCTATTTGGGCTAAGGCAGATAATATAAAATTAATCGAATGTTTACTTCTCCTGAATGCAGGGATTCACTAATTCTTCCAAATCTGAACTATACTAGATCAGGTCTTTAAAGTCCGAACTTGAAGAAAATTTCTATCAAAGAATCAGCCCAATTTGGCATGCGATTTAAGAATTAGCAAGCATTAAACTTCTTCAAAATCTGACTACAATGACAAAGTAAAAATCACTATTTTATCAAAGCTTCTAAATTTCTGGGAAATATTTGAGACAAAAAGGGTGCTTTGGTGCTATAAAGAGGCGGGGATGTTATTCCTAATATCTTTCAGGTTAGAAAGATTCTTTATAACTGCATAATTAATGATTCTCTGAAGAAGTATCCAGAAGAATGCTTAGGCTTATTTGGATAATAATTTACATTCATATTTTTAATGAATATGAAGGAGTATTTCTTTGGTAGTAAGACGATTTGAGCCTCCTCATTTGATCCCTTAGATAATTTATTGAGTTAGTCCGTACTCCAAGTTGGAGTTGACAATTTTTCAAATTTGAAGGTAAATTCAATTTTGTCTTTAAAATAAAGTGCCTAATAATGAATCACAACATAAAATGTGAAATAGCATAGTAATAATTTACTATAATTTAAGATATGCTCCAGACAATTGTTGGCTAAGAAATAGGATCAAGATAATTCTAAAGTCTCTTTGAATTATTTACTTTATCTAGACACCTCTATAATTGAGGGAATCAATACCTACATCCACATTGTTATCCAAAACACTAATGAGGCTGATTTCAAGAAACATTGGATTTTAAGAAATCAGGAAATGAGCTTATGATGCAGAATTCTGATACTCAAGTAAAGGTTTAGTGTTGGAAAATAACAATTTAAATGATCTTTTTATTAATCTGTCTTGATATGTTTTGAATAAAATGCATAGTAGATTCATCTTTATTCCTTATATGGTCTTCAACAAGCTTTTAGACATTTTCTGAATAATTTGTTTGTATTTATTTTAGAGTCTCAAGGGTTATTTGTATAAATAGCTTCTTTAAAATAAAGTCCAAACTCAGTTTAGATAAAAATAAAGGGGTTTTGGGGTTTTGGGGTTTTGGGG